ATACGCTAGTGTAATTTAGACACCCCCCTAGAGCGGTCTCCATCTAATGTCCTAAAATGTGTTTCCTGCAAATGTGAGCTCATTGTATAAACTTAGGGGAACAACTTTTTTGTGCTGTAAGCGGGGTTTGGGGGGTTGTGTCACACATCTGTACATTACTAAATACACAAAGCATTAAACATTTATTCTAACAGGTGTATTTATCAGTTGCTTTTCTTAGCTGTATTGAATGACAGATTTTCATTGTCATGTTGAATCAACATATCCTTTTAATTTGTTTTACAAGAGCAGTAAATTAAATTTACTTACATCATAATGTCATTACAGTAATGAATTACAGTATGGTTTCATTAGGGAGGCTTCAGCAGCTTGTTTAAAAAGAAAACAAACAGTGTAACAGCAAGTACGTTCTCAGAAAAGGCAAAAGTGTGGTGTATATGGGATTGGGGGGTAAGTTTGATCGAATGCTATAGAGGTGGCACCTTCTTCTAACTGTTCGTCTTGAATGGCATGTCTTGCTACTGTTTTGGTCAGTAAGATATATGGATGGGCAAAGTGCTGCTCTTTGGGACGGGAACTAAAAACAACAGGAAGGGATTGCAGCTGGCCTGAACTGATATCATAGCTTTCTCTCTCCTCTCCCACTCAACCGCACTTAGCAAAAAATAAAAAATAAAAAAGTGCATATGAGCACACCAGTGGAAAGAATGTGTCAGAGTTTGAATTCAGAGCAAGAGTCAGTGCCAGAGATGACCTTCCCCTGCTGAAAACTCAAACATACCTGCTGCTGACATGCAGCTAACAGAACACAAGGGTGGGGCGGCACAGATAATTGAAACAAACTGTAAATGTTGTTGACAGTGACTTGTATTGGGCACATTATGTTGCACAGCAAATGTGTTGTGACATTGACAGGATTAGCAGGCTTGCATTAAGACAAACTTTGCATTATGGAATTTTAAGGCACCCTATTGGTTAAAAGTGCACCAAATACTTTTCAACTGATTGGCAAGAAATGCCTTCTGTATCTGTATGGCTGACTTTCTTACATGTAGCACAAATACAATGTAAGGCTAAAAATATAACCTCAGTCACTATTTATTTTCATTGTATGCAATGAAGGTAAAAAGTGAGGCTGCCATTCTGCAATTTGGGTTCATTTGTAAAGAGTACTTATGGAAATAATATACTTTAATCGAATATACTGCAGTGTACTGATTTCAGACACTTAATTGCAAGTGAATTTCAATTAAATGAAAATGTATTATAGTTTAAAATGTATATTAAATGCAATTAGCTTAAAGTAAGAGTGATTTTGACCCACTTAAGTAGGTACAACTTTAGATGTAATTTCATAATGTAATTTTGTCTATTGTCTTTGAACAAAGTGTATTGTTGGATGTACTTACCAAGCATTTATGGTATATTAAAATATACATGTATATATTTGTAATTACACATTACTTCATATTTTAATGAAGTTGTAATTTAAATATTTAAAATATTTAACTTTAACTGTAATATCAAAAGTCCAATATTTAACTTAATATGCAGGTGCATCTCCGTAAATTAGAATGTCATGGAAAAGTTAATTTCAGTAATTCAACTCAAATTGTGAAACTCGTGTATTAAATAAATTCAATGCACACAGACTGAAGTAGTTTAAGTCTTTGGTTCTTTTAATTGTGATGATTTTGGCTCACATTTAACAAAAACCCACCAATTCACTATCTCAACAAATTAGAATACTTAAACAATTTGAGTTGAATTACTGAAATAAATGAACTTTTCCACGACATTCTAATTTATTGAGATGCACCTGTATACAGTAAGATTATTACAAAGTACATGTTTTAAATGTGTATTTATTTTATTATTATATTATATTATCTGCAAGTGCATTTTTTTAATATGCCTTTAACATTTGAAGTCAATACAATTAAGCACACTTCTTTTTCACAAGGGATCGCTTTAAGACAAATCGACTATGAAAGTATAAAATAAAATAATTAATAAAAGTGTATGACCTAGCAGATGTTAATGTGTCTCTTCTCTGTATATAGCAGATTACAACAGCAGTGATCAGAAGACCGCCTGCAGAAAGCATGAACTGTACGTCAGCTTCAGAGAACTGGGCTGGCAGGTAAAGATGAAGAACATTTGCATAATCGGTATTCCAAATCTCAAACTGGATCAGCCTTCAGTGGTCATTTGGATATAAAACAAATATGTCGTTTTATATCGTAAATATATCCCAAATGAGTGTTTCATCTACTTTAAAATACATTTTTAGTGTGAGCATCCCTTTTGATTTAAATATATGTGTTTGTCAGGACTGGATTATTGCACCTGAGGGCTATGCAGCAAACTACTGCGATGGAGAATGCTCTTTTCCCCTAAACGCCCATATGAATGCTACTAATCATGCTATAGTACAGACACTGGTGAGTCCTGCTTTATAACATAAATACCAGACCTAACAAAAATAGTATTGTTAAAGTTTATTTCACAGTAGTGAGTGTAAAATAATATCTTGCTCCACTATTCAGGTCCATCTCATGAATCCAGAGAACGTTCCAAAACCATGCTGCGCTCCCACCAAACTGCATGCAATCTCCGTGCTCTACTACGACGACAACTCCAACGTCATTCTGAAAAAATACAAGAACATGGTGGTGCGCGCATGCGGCTGCCACTGACACAAGGGACACGTGTCGCCCTGCCCGACCGCTGCACCACAGAGACAGGACTGACAAAACGAAATAAAGACAGATGCGAAAAGCAAGCATTATGAAAAAAAATATGTGAGAGAATGTCTCGACGGTAGATCCAAGTTTGCTGCTTCTCATTTTTATACACATGGCCATTTCTCGTGACATTTCGGATCCTACAAACTGCCAAGAGGATGTTCATGTGAATCTATAAACAGAAAATGAACTTGATGCCTTAAGTCTAAAACAAAGAAAATGTAAATTATGAACTAAAATGCAGTCTGTAATATTTAAAGGGGTCGCATCATAACACTATCACTTCATTTTCTAAGTAAGGTCTACTTGTTTTACAAAACAGTAAAATCAGTTCTTTATGACTTTTTTCCCCCACCCACATTCTGATCCTTGGAATTAAATGGGATACTTTTTTGCTGTGCCTTTAGGACTAGACTTTGTATCTTTCTAATGTTTGAAAGTTCCAGAAGTTCAGAACAAATCTTTTTTTTTTTGCAACTTTCAGGAACTTCCTCCCCAATATAAATAGACAGTTTGAGTTCTGAAAGTTACTGTAGCTTTTTTATTTCAAAAGAAACTTTGATTCCTCATGATATGACCTCTTTAAGATCGGAAACTTATAAATGACTATGTCCCAAAGCACAGAAATCAGAACAGGAAACTTTCTACTGCTTTGTGTATTTTTGATGAAGTCACTTGAACCCACAGGACTCTATTTTAGGTCTCAAAAAATCGAATTATTTTAAGTTTCTCAATATTTGCTCTGCACTACCTGTGGTTTGCATCTGTGAGTCAGAGCCAGTGGTTACACACTTCAACAGAACTCAAAGAACGGAACCATTATGCTGCCGTTCCAAGGATGGAACTGTAATTTGATGCCGTCCGACACCACAGATCTATAATTTCCCTGCAACACCTGCACCTCGGATGGCTTACATCCAAAACTTCCCATAATACACGAGGACCTACAAATAATTTAATTTGTATTCTGTGCCATCGTACTCACATGGGCTGTAGATTTTCCAACATCTCATGTCTATTTATTGTCAAACATTTTTTTAAATGCAGTTGCCAATCCATTTTTTCCACTGTGAGCCATTGAATGGTACAAAACTCTTGCTGGACAGGCAACATAGGACTATTATCAGCATTGTAGCAATATATTTTGTGTTTGCCCTTTGTAATTTGGGAATTGATAATTGCTTCAATTTTTATACCAATACTGAAACCAAATAATTCAGTTACGTTTAGTCACATTTTAATGCTGTTTGCATTTCCATTCATCTCACTGGCACAGGACTCCAATAAGCCAACAGGACCATGCTTGCCAGCCAAACCTCGACTGCTTGGTTCACATTGACAGTGGCCACATCACTATGGTATTGGGTTGTACTGTTGGTTGCCAGTAGGCTTATCTGTACTCAAAATCTGCCGCAAGAATTGAATTTGAGGGTAGTAAAAAGTATAACAATTTTCCAAATATTGTCAATTTTTTTCCAACTCCTATTCCTAGTTATATCACATACCTCCCATAAACTGCTGTTTACGTCTCAACCGTATTTGGATGCTTGTGTGTAAATACTTGTACATTTGACAGTTTATTTATTGTTCTTTTTATGAATCCTATAGCACAGAGATCATATAACAAGAGTAAAGGAAAAATTAAAAACTGCTATTTTTGGAAAAAGACATTTTATTATGAAATTTGTCACAACATGCCTTTTTTTTTGTACAAAAACCCCCAGGCAGTGCGTGTACCCCTCTCACACAGGACAAAAATACTGCATTTTTCAGTAAGTTCGGCCTTGACCATGTGCCTCCCATAAAGACTTCACTGAATATATGCGGTTTCTCTGATTGCTTTTCCCTTCCTTCTCTTTCAGATCCAGTAAAAGAGAAAAATAAACATCTCGGTGTGGGAATATTTGAAAGGAAAAATGTAAATTACATTTGTTTAAATCAATGAAACCACTGGAGAGCATCAGAGAACACATACAAGTCTGTCAGCATTCTTCAAGCAATGATACCAGGCGACGCTAGTGTCTGACTTTCACCATCACAAAGTGTTTTAAGCAGTTCACTAATAATATTAAAAGTGGTTGACTGCATGTGAAAGCCATCAAGACTGAATTACAGAGGGGGGAAAAAAAGAGTGAGTCTCAAACAGAGAGTCTAAAAGACAAACCTAATCAAAGGAAAAATGACATGGGGGGGGGGGGGGGGAAATAAAAAAGCCACATCTGAAGAATAATCTAAGACAAAAAAAATTAAATACTGTACCATAAACGTTTCAACCTTTCACAGCCTCTACTGTAAGTAAACCATATTTCCATAAACCGTCATTATACAGCAACAAATGATCTATTTTGCATCGTCTTACTTTGCTGAGTGTTGAGAAATTACAAAAAGTATTACATAATGGCAATATTGGGGATATGTCTGAATGTATTTACCCCATTCATATGCCTATAAGAATATTAAGAAGCTTTATATGACAAATTAACCAAAGATGTTAAACCAGCCTAATGTGGTTTGCTGGCCATCAAACTTGTTAAGACTGGCCTGGTTTGATTATTATTATTATCTGAATCTTGGCTGGTTTAAGCAGGTCTCCCAGTCTGGCTAACAAACTACCTTAGTCTGGTTTATTTAATAATTGTTTTATCTTCTGAACGATACAACCATTTCAAAACCTAAGACCCCAACAGAAACATTTGAAACTCCAACAGAAAAACCATGTGCATGGTCAAAGTGCTGTTTGCAAGTGTGTATCATATAGTATTTTACACTGAATGGAGGGGAAAAAATAAAAAATAAAAAAAATCACAGCAGGTGCATGTCATGGTTTTCTTTAAAGGGTACATGGTCTCCCTGAGGTCATATTTTCTTAGCTGATAGCAAACTAAGCTGAATTTCCTCAAATATAACTGACAAAATACGCACCTTAAATGATGTAATGATCTTAACAGTGTCATTGTTTAAATCATACTGCTGTTATTTTAATGGAGAAAGGGTAAAATCAAAAGTCTGTGGTTGTAATCGCTAATAATCTCATCAACTGATCAGAGATGAAATCGTGTACATTCACATTTTGTCATGTGGAAAAGACTGCTCACTTTAGCAGGTGAGGGACAGAAATGAAGAAAAAGCAGTCCATTTGACAGTATGGTAAATGTAGATAGTGTTGCTTTGTGGAGGATGTGTTGCGAGATGGAAAATGAGGGAGGAGTTACAGCTCATCTCTCGCTTGCTTCATAACAAAATTGTGCAAGCTCTCTAAGTCCCGCCCTCCATTATGCTCCTCCCCCTGTTGCCCCGCCCGGAACATCAGGAGAGTTGGGTATCCACGCACCTATAGAAAACAATGACCAAATATTTACATACATTTAAATTGTGTGTAGTAATTAAACACGAAGCCAAGCCAAACTGGATCCTTTCGGAGTAGCTATTTGATTTGGAACAAATTTGGGAAAGAAAAAAAGTATGTTCGATATAGCATGAATGTATGTTGCATAAACAAAATCTGGATGTACTAGATCCACCATGTTGGCTTTGTCATGTGACCTGCTTCAGTTTTGTTATTTACTGCCACTCACAACTCAGGGATAGAAAAGTGTGCATAGGTATACACACTTCAAAATGTCGATGGAGGTAGTTGGTCACATTGAGTCTCACCATGCGGAGAGCGCTCCAAATCAGTATAGTTATGAGGTTCGGTTTGTTTGTATATAATTGAACGCACTTTCAGCTTCCAAGGCAAAAAGTTGCTAAAATAACAGATCTAAATATTAAAACTAATACAAATAAAAACTGGGACTTTTTATTGTGTATGCACTTAACAAAAAAGAAAAAAGGACTTTATCAAAAGTTTAAAAAAAAACATTAATGGAAGGATTTGTAACTAGAATCATTAGATGGAATGAAACTGAAACCTGTATAGAAACATTTGCTACATTTTCCATTCATAACAGACAGAAAGGCAGCACACAAGTTTTTGGAACAAGCTTAAAAAAATACCTAATTTCAAAAAATGAAGTTATGAAGTTATGTTGACCCCATCCCTCAAACATCCACAATCCACAAGACTTGTTACTCTCGCTGCCACCCATCAGGGAATAAAAATGTGACTGAGATCCAGACTAAATGAGCTGCACTCACAGAGTATCTGTTGCAGAGCGTTCTCTCCACGGTGCAGTCCACTATAGCAATCTTCACATCAGTCAGACCAGGAAACTCCTTTTTAGATAGATCCTCCCAGGTAGGGGCCAGGTTTTTACAGTGACCACACCTTAAATACACGAACACATATTGAGTGAGTCGCTGAACGACAGAGGATAAGCTCAGCCAATCAGGGAGTGGCGGGTCTTTTGATTAGCCACTAAGGAAACATTAAGATGATAAGAGGAACAGACAGGGGAGGGGAGTACACTGTGTGCACGCATGTGGATATACACTAGGGGTGGAACGGTTCAACTTACTCATGGATCGGAATGTATCACGGTTACGGTACGGCATGTGCTATGTTTAGGCAAAAACTATACTGTCAAATAAAAATAAAGAAAATAAGAATAATCTATCTAACTACAAGCAACAGCACAGAAATACAATAGCGTAAAGATACAAATAAAATAAACAGTGATTTTCTTTTTAGGTAGGTCTAACATTAGTTTTGAAGTAATGAAATGTAAAACAGCATTGCATATTTGACTGTATAAATGAAAGATGAATCTTTATTGAAGTTACAAAAGCTATTCAATCAAGAGCAGTGAGTGATTTCTTTGTTGTTGCTGTTTGATTAATATTAAGAAAGTGCTGTCACTTTAAGAGAATGCACTGATCCAGTGCACTGACATAGTACGTTCAGCCGGCTATGTCTGCTATAGGATACTTACCAAGACGGGCATTTTGAAATAACTTTTGTGTGAATTTGTCCATTTAAACAATACTTCAAAGAAAGCTTAAGCTCGAGTCCTCTGGATCTTAAATGTTTAAACTGGCTAAGCTTTAAACACAGATATCAACGTGTGCTGTTCAGGTCTCACCGGTGCACGCGCGCCATCAGCACCCGGGTGATGACGGAATAAATGCTCATATTCTAGCATACGGCATCGAACAAGAGTGAATGGTTTGTCCATGTTTTTTTTTTTCCATCGCTGTTGTTGTAATGTATTGGGAAGCAAGAATGCGCATCCACCAGCAGAAACATATATTAGCCGAACCCTGTTTGTTTTACGTGTTATTATTTATAGCAAACCATATTACAGATTCGTTGTCAGATTTAAGTTGAACCACGGTCCTAGCACGTGCCGAACCGTCTGTGGAGAACCATACGGTTCGATTTTTTTCCACGAACCACGGGGCGTCAGAGTCAACGCCTCTCGTTTACTTTGAATGGAGTTACGTCAAGCGTTGGCGAAATGAATTGTGGGTCCGTCGCGTTGCGTTCAGTGTTGCCAACTTAGCAATTTTGTTGCTAAATTTAGCAACTTTTCAGACTACCCTAGCAACTTTTTCTTCCAAAAGCACCTAGCAACAAATTTAGCTTTTTTTTTTTTAATTTATTTGGCAGCTTTTAGCAACTTTTGATAAGTGACTCAAATGATAAAAAGGCACAATTTACCATTTAAATTACACAAAAAGAAAAAACCAAAGATGCCTAGCAGTACACACGTTACAGGAATTAAATTAGCTGCTATTTGCAATTGTTTAATTTAATAGCAATAATAATAATTGAATACTGTTATTTTTCATTTATGAGACACTTTGTTAGTAGCTTGTACCTGTGATTGTTGATGAGTTAGTGCACTGTAAGAAAAATATGCAGAAAAATGGAAAAGGTGCAAGTAACTTTCCAGAACATTATCCGTTATAACCCGAAAACACAAAATACAAGGCGTAATTAAAAATGCAGGTACAAAAACCTGTGGAAAAATAAATCCAGAAAATTCCTTCATATTAACACAGTAGATTGTGCATTATTTTTTACTTTTCTTAGAGTGCAGCATACAAACTAACTACTAATAAACTGCTTTAAAGTATAAAACTTAAATTGTAATCGTTCAAAAATGTTTACGTTTTCGATAATTCAATGAATTTAAAAATAGTTATTTATATTTTAATATTATATTATGCATTTATATTGCTACGAACAAATCTAAATTACCATATATAAAATATATATGTTTTTGCTGAGATTTGACAATTTTGCATGTGATTACGTAATGACGTCATCACGCAATGTCATCACAACATCATGTAGCAACTTTTAGAAACAAATCGACCTTCCTTTAGCAACTTCCCCTGAAAATTAGTTGGCAACACTGGTCGCGTTGGGTCTGTTGCTCGCGGCAGAAGTTGAAAACTTTTCAAGCGGTCATTAAATGGAGTTGGAGAATCAAAATGTTTGTGATAATTACACATAGAAGAGATTACTCTACAATAAAAACAATTATCAAAACTCTAACTCCTCAGTTTAAAATATAAATTATAATTTTCTACCCTTCTGAAACACCTGGATTTGAAATCCAAATGCGTCATCGTCATATGCAATGAGATGTGTTCTGTTGTTAGTTAGGCTTTTTGGTGCAAAAAAAACACTTTTTGCTAATTTTATAAACAAACTTTGAGAAACATAATATAAAAATCTGAAACTGCATTTCATGACCTGTGATCTGTGTAATATGTCAGGGCTCATGTACAGACGTTCTTTGTCGCAAAGTGGTTTACTGCCATTTATGCATTAGTGAATCAAGCCAGTGACTAAACGAATAACTTCACACTGATCATATTAGTAGTGTGAAAAACAATGTTATTGTAATGTGGGGTTTGGGTTTTGTTTCGTTTTCCATGTCTTTTATTTTGTAATAGTTTCCTTCTGTTAGTGTCATGCTTCCCTTGCCTCATGTCTCTCTGCCTTGTGTATGTGTCATGTTCTGATTGGTTGTCCTAGTCATGTGTCTTGTCTCCCATTGGTTTGTTCTGGTCATGTGACCCTCTTGTTTGCTATAAGTAGCCATCATGTTACCATTGTCTCTCGTCGTGTATTGATGTTGTAACCTGCTGTCGGTGAGTCTAGTCTGTTCATGTCAAGTCTGTTTCATGCCTCGTCAAGTTAAGTCAAGTCTGTTCATGTCAAGTCAAGTCTCGGATTATTGTTTGGATGTTTGGATCACTCTGTAACGAACAATCCACTGAAGGCGAGTGTAGTGAAGAACCCAAGTGCAGTTTATTTACAGAGTGATCCAAACATCCAAACAATAATCCAAGACTTGACAGCAGGTTACAACATCAATACACGACGAGAGACAATGGCAACATGATGGCTACTTATAGCAAACAAGAGGGTTACATGACAAGAACAAACCAATGGGAGACAAGACACATGACTAGGACAACCAATCAGAACATGACACATACACAAAGAGACAGACACTAACAGCAGGAAACTATTACAAAATAAAAGACAATAGACAATAAATAATCTTATTTCAAACAGAAAACAAGATTATTTTTCTTACCCCATTGGCAGATTATTTTGCTTGTTTCAAGCAAAAACTCACTTCAATTCGACTTGTTTTTTCTGAAAACAAGACAATAATTTTTACTTGTCTAGAAAATCGTTCTTGATTTAAGAATGTTTAGATATTTTGGCTGGAAACAAGACAAAAGATCTAAGCTAGAAAAGCATTTTTTGTAGTGCAAAAATAAATGTAGTGTAGTGTTTTTAAAATTTTAATTACACGTTAAATTCTGGTTCATACTACAAAACGTTGTATAAATATAGTACTAAAATGGATTTGTGGAAATGAATCACGTCTAAACTCTATTGCCATAATTGGTAATTGAATTTAAACCAAAGGCAGCACATCCTCAAAAATACTGAAAGACTTTAGGAGACTTTTTGAACAAATAAAAAGGGCATTCATATCACTACAATGTCAATGCTGCTCAGGGTTATTATCTAAAAACATCTGAAATAAAGCTGCAATACAAATATAAGATGAAAAACTAACTGACCATTAAAAAAATAAATAAAAAGGTAATTTGAAGCCCTACAATTACTAACTGGAAATAAAAATAAAATAAAAATAATGTAAAACTTAAGAGTATGTGTGTATACATATATATATATATATATTATAAATAATATATTTGTCATATCAGACAGCCCCACCTGCCACTAGATTATTGATAAAGTACCATTAAAAATGTGAAATGAAACCCCACTAACGCTTACCATGGAGCATAGAACTTGATGAAGGAGAGTCCTTTGGCAACAGTCTCATCAAAGTTGCTCTCAGTCAATACCAGAACATTAGACTGAGAGAAACAAAAAGAAAAAATAATTAGTGGCAGCACATTTTGTTCGCATTTTAACTTTTATATCATATTTCTTGTTAAAGGCACAATATGTAAGATTTTTTTATTAAAATATCCAAAAACCACTAGAATAGTTTTTTTATATTTTGCTGACTTGTGTACTTGCATTATCCCAAACGCTTTAATATGCTATGCATTTTATTAGACAGGTGACGACCGCACAGAGTAGCATTATAACAGAAAGTTCTAATGTATCTAGTATGATAAAACAGCGCTGCTTACTTCCGCTGCTTTTTTTTATATTTTGCTGACTTGTGTACTTGCATTATCCCAAACGCTTTAATATGCTATGCATTTTATTAGACAGGTGACGACCGCACAGAGTAGCATTATAACAGAAAGTTCTAATGTATCTAGTATGATAAAACAGCGCTGCTTACTTCCGCTGCTTTCCGGAATGAGCGGAAGCGGTCGACTGTGGCATAATAAAAGCTCTGCTGCCTTTGAGCGGTGTGTCGCGCTCGTTCAGCAGCCTCGTTTTGCTTCGACGGCTTTCCTCCTCACTCTGCTTCATTCTACTACGTTAATAAATCATTAGCTCATCCATGAACATGATTTCTGCCCAAGTCCTGTCGGATTGCATCGGCTGTGGGGATGAAGACGACAACTCCCATGATTCCACACTCAGTCATGGCGTCATCTAACTACGCCTTTGTTTCTTTGTTTGTTTTGAATACGCGCCCTCTAATAGCAAAAAATTACATATTGTGCCTTTAAAGGGGTGGTTGATTGCGATTTCACTTTTTTTAATGTCAGTTAGTGTGTAATGTTGTTTGATCATAAACAATATCTGCAAAGTTACGAAGCTGAAAGTTCAATGCAAACAGAGATATCGTCTTTTAAAATTCTGGCAGTTTAATGCCTACAAAAACGACTGGTAAGGGACTACAACGAGTTACTTCCCGGGTCCGTTACGTCAAGAACCCAGAATTTTACATAAACCCCGCCTCCGGGAACACGCAGCAAAGGAGGCGAGGCCATGCTGCGCTGCTTTAGAGAAGAGGAAGAACGGTGTGGAATAATGGTAAATTATGCGTTTTTTTAACAAACTAAGCATTAACGCATGTTAGACTGCACCCCATAAACACAATCAAGCCTAGAAAAAAAACTGTCAACCACCCCTTTAACTAATGTGTCAATTATATTCTAGCACTGATGCGTCACAAGGCAGAACATATTCATAGTAAAACCCCTAGAGAATTTCCACAGGTGATCATATCCTGCTGAAGTTTAAATACCTCTCACTTGGATGGTTTCCTTAATTACAACACCAGTTCTGAACATTTATTTAAGAGCAAGGTCTCATCTCAAAGGCACCAGCAACGGTTTACAATTTTTTTAAATAATCCTCCAACTACAAAAAAAAAAAAAACGAGGACTCTGAAACAGAGCTCTTGAGGGACACTATTTAGCCATCCAACAATTCCAGCCAGCCAAAATCCCTTTATAAAAGGCAAGCTTAGACAGGAAAGCCAATTAACAAAACAAAATAACAGCTCTTTAAGTTCCCCGCCCACCAACCCACGTGCACGCACACATGCACATTTGCATCAGCAGGAGGAAATAGCTGCTCTGCCCATAATTACTACCTCGGTTTCAAGATGCAGATTTGTGTCTACGGGCCAAATTCTGCAGCTCGCTGTTCAAACATCTGCCCGCACACACAAACGAATCAAATCTCTATGGTGCCAAGCAGGAAATTGCAAACAAAACCTGTACTGTGTGAAAATTAAAACAGACACCCACCTCTTGTTTTTCAGGTTCAGCGCTAGGTGGGATTTCGTGAGCGTGCTCCTCCTCTTTCGCAGGTTCATCTTTAGATTCAGCAGCTTTTACGTGATTATCAACAAACTCTTTAAATGAGTCCAGATCACGCTTTCCTCTGTACTGATCAACCTGAAAACACACGGCATGTGCATGGTTACTGTTATTTTTTAGTGTAAACACTGACAACTATCAGACTTTTATTACCATACTTAATTCATAACATCTAGTTACAATTTGATTCGCTTATTTGGGAACATTATGATTTTACAAGTGAAAAATAGTGCATGGTGGTTCATGGTTGTGAGGATGTAGGAAGCATAGAAAACGTAACAGAATATCTGAAAAGAAAAAGAAAAAAGGGCAACATCTGGGGTAAGGTTTTTTTTTTTTAAGTTATTCAGCAAAGACACATTGAACTAATCAAAAGGGACAGTAAATAATGACTACATGTTCTTTTGAACATTGCATTCATCACAGTTCCCATAAAAATGTATAGCAGCAGATTAAGCAACTTCCAGTATTGATGATGATAATAAATACTTCCTGAGCACCAAATAAGCATATTACAATGATTTCTGAAGGATCGCGTGACATTGAGTAGTAGTATATTTTTATTTAATGCCATGTCAGCATCTTAGGCTATTTTCATGGTAAAGAACTAGTCAAAAAATGCAAGTATAACAAATACAATAAAAACCAGCAAACAAACATGTTATATTACATAAGATTTTTTACATTAACATATGATAAAAATTCTAAAACTTTTCCTGGCAAAATTATACTTTCATTTTTTTTGATGATTTTCGGCATGACATTGAAGACGAGTACTGAAAATTCAGCTTTGCCATCACAAGAATAAATTACATTTTAACACATTTTAGTGTTTTTCACATTTCGCAGTATTGCGGTTTTAATATATATTAATCAAACAATGCAGTCTTGAGTATGAGACTTTCAAAAAAAAAAAACTACCAACCCCAAACTTTTGAACAGTATAATGTATACACATTAATACACATCATAAGAAATTATGCCACTCTAGATGTTCTTACCTTCTCTCCATCAGTGAAGAAGAGCAGCGTGGGATAACCACGAACCTGATTATTTGAACACACCTCATAGTGCTGTGTGCAATCCACCTTTAGCAAGCAAAATATGTAAATATCAGAAAACAGAAGTCAATCTGCAGTACAGAAAAAACACGAGAGAAACCACAATGGCCTCTCTCACCTTGCCGATCTTGACACTGTCTGAATGCTCAAAACTGGTGGCGAGCTGTTCCCATGTTGGAGCCATGGCTTTGCAGTGCCCACACCATGGTGCAAAGAACTTCACAAAGTGAGAACCTGTAGAGGTGAATTATAGGGTTACAGCCTCAAAATGCAACAAGAATCCGTGTCTGAAGTAGGATAACACATAAAAACAATGGCTTTAATCATAACTGATCAAAATTATCACAGACTGCAGAAAATATGGTGTTGCAGGCTGCACATTTATGCACAACGAGAAGAGAATTTACAGTGTCATCTCACAGCCAATCTACACAACAGTCATGCCACCCACAACCGTATGATGTTACAAGAAACGTCATGAATTGTTGTGTTATTGCCTGTGTTGTGTATTTAAAATGGTCTGATTATCAAATTAAGGCATACTTAGGGATGCACCGATACCGATATTGGTATCGGGCCCGATACTGAGCTCTACTGTTCTCATACTCGTTAAAATGCCACGATACCAAACAGCATGTGATAAGTGCCATATTCAGACAAAGAAACACCTACAACAGACATCAGAATGGAGTTATTAGAGATTAAATATGTCTACGAAGTATATGTATGCAATGAATATAAAACATTCAGTATTAATGCCTGCATAGCTGATTTGCGCCAGCTGGTAAGCAAATCACGCTGAGTGGATTGAGTGTGCGGCGGCGCAGATGCGCGAGCTTGTCGAGTGAATATCCCTTTCTCACAGACATCACTGCAAAGCTTGTAGTTCGGTCGGATATGTCAAAAAGAAGTAAGTAAAACAATGCACAAGTTACTTAATGGTAGGGAGGGAGAGAGGGAGGGAGAGAGAGCGCGCACTTCTGTTGTGTGATCTTTATTGATGTTCGCTCACTTAGCACGCATCATTTGGATTAAAACTAAATCGTAAATATAAGACAATTTATAGGGGCATTCACTATAAACGTTATTTATTTTCACCCTTAAACATACACGACTTTCTGGCGAAAGTGAAACTAACAGCCTGTGTGAAATGCGCAAGGCTGTACTATACTCGTCCCTCTCATTCTGCACCAGTAGCCTACAAATATGTGTGCGCGGTGCGCGTTTTGCTTGCTTCATGACTGTTTCTGCATTATATGAGTGGCTTTGGAAAATAAATCGCTGCACGTTTCAGATGAAAAAACGCGACTTCTATTTATGAAAATATCACAGTTAGGAGATTTATAGCGAGTGGTTCCCTGCATTTTTACAGCAAATCGCGTGATTACAGTACTAAGCCGCTGCAATGGAGCAGCTCTAATGCTATTAAATTAAAGATGATGTAGGCTACCATAGAGAGAGAAAAAAATGAACAGTGAAAGTAACAAACTTGTAAAATACATTTTAATGGGCATAATTAAGTGTGAAAATAACAGAAGGATATACAGTCAAACCAAAAATTATTCAGAGACCAGATGTCCTGACCAGATGTAAGTGAGGATGGCAAAATAAACTAAACTGTGATATATTATACCCAAACATTCTTCATACAGTGGACTACCAGTAAAATTGATACAAATTTGGGACCAAAAATTATTCAGACCGAGTCTGGGAAAAAATGTAAGTTCAGGTCTGCATGAACCTGGTTGACAGCATGCCCAGGAGACTATATGCTGTCATTAAGGCTAATGGTCACCCGACAAAGTATTGATAGCTGTATGAATAATTTTTGGTTGATTGTAATGCATTACATACCTTTCTATCAAAGTTATCTGACATTATCAAGCTGAATTTGTTCTGACACAGTTTAACTCTGAGTTCTTGTCATATTTTATTACCATTTTCTAAACTATAGCGAATAAACTGTGATAATGTGAGAAATGTTGAAGGTGTCTGAATAAATTTTGGTTTGACTGTATCAATTTGATAAATTAAGTTAACCAACTAACATTATACATACTCTTTTGGTTTCTGTACCCAATATTTTAAAAATTTACAAATGCAATGAAAATATTGGTATCGGTACTCGGTATCGGCAAGTACCAAAAATAAAAGTATCGGTATCGGGCGAGTACTGGAAAAAGTGGTATCGGTGCATCCCTAGGCATAATACATTAATTTAATTTATCTTTTAATTATTGAAAATTAAAGTTTATTTTTGGCAAACAAAGGGGATTTACTACTAACATTAAAACATGGAAGAAATGTTGTGTGATTATTCCTTAATTCCTTAAGGTTTTAATAATTTTAGTAGTAGTACTAATAGAACAATGACAGTGTTTGCAAACAGTGATTAAGTTTTTTGTGGGCAGAGCCTATCTGGTGGCAGAAAATGACTGTTTTAACATAGCAGTCTATTCAAGTCATGGAATAAAATAAAAAAACTTGAGTTTATATTTCAAAATTCTGACTTTTTCTTGCAATTCCGAGATTATATCTCACGGTACGAAGAAAAATCAACTTGTCATTCTTTCTTTATAGTTTATAATCCCACACTTCCGGCTTTTTTCCCCTTAGAATTAACAAACTCACAATTGTTGAGTTGAATCAAGTTATAAAGTCAAGATATAAACTTATATATCAAGATATAAACTTGAAAATAGGTAAAAATGTTATAGGTTTAAATAGGTTTTTATGCATGTATTTCAACTGTAGGGCAAATACAATATGTCCCCTATGTGAATATTATATAGACCTATTGTTTAAATCAAATGTATGCTTTAAAAGTAGGGTAATCATAGCAGGTTTCATCCATAGTCTGTCTGTTTAAACGTCTGCGTTTAGCTTCAAATGGCGTCTTTGACGAAAGTATTATATACAAATTATTTGCATTCCGATTCTGACATCCAAAGGCACAACAATACATTGTTTCTCTTATTCCATGGATTTTCCCCGTTTCCCTCCATTTGTTTGTTCCCAGTGTTTTTATGCTACCACAATGCGCACGCAGCTGCAAGTGACGTAACTGTGACAACTACTCCAAATTGGTCTGTAGTAGGCTATTAGTAGTATTTTGTACATTCTACTGAACAATATCTCTGGCACAAACCACACTTTTATTTTGACGGGTTGCTGTGAATACCTTTACATTTCTGTGTGATGTGAGGCTAGTTTTACTCAAATGTTTTGGAGATGTTGTTCATGTATTTATGTCCTCATTTAGTGAGACGGTGTACCGACGAAACATGCTACCTATCAGATTGTGCTACCAAAAATATATTTGCATTGTTTTAAGGGTAAGTTTAGGGTAGGGGTCAGGGGCATTTCCTCCGAGGAGGCAAGGGAGGCAGTGTCTCCTCTCTTCAAAAGTGGATGAGAAAATAATTGATATTACAAAAATAAAACGACGCAAATATGACTAAATATGACATTAAAAGTCTAAAAGTCACTCGTTTTTATAAAGTAACACTGTCCAACAGCGACACCCGCAGCTAAAGTTACAGCGGAGGCTTGCCTCCCCTTGGTCCATTGACTTTCTACAGAGACCCCAAAGCATGCCGTGACTTTTCTGGAGGCTCATTAAAATGAATGGGGGAAAGTTACGTGAGAGGAGGCAATGCCTCCGTCACACTATAATTGGATATGATCGTTATGATTGGATGTGATTGGTTCATGTGATAAATCCCGCCTCTTTTTTGTGTGTGAACTCTCGGCCTGAATGAAGAAAATTGAGTTATTGACTAATTATAAAGTAAGTAAACAACTCTCCTACTTAGATATCACTGCTTTGAGTCATGTCAAAATGAAACATGAAATGACTTGAAAACATGATGACTGTGTCAGTTTTTAGTGAGCATTCAGCATGATGGAATGAAATATGTATCTTTGTGTCTGTGGCAGTGTTTACAGGGCTTTTATGATGATGACCCGAAATAAGCTGACCATTAAAAAGAACAGCTGAACACCAGTTCACAAATAAAAAAACGGAGTGTCTATTTACAAGTGCAAATAGCCCGCCTTGTTGGCAGAGGCTTTTTACACTAGCTCTGCACACCAACGTGTGATTACAAAGCATTACAAAAGACTATCGTCTAATAACAGCTCCAGTAGCGTAGATGGTGAAGTATGTGTTGAAGTCGATTTTGACACGATCGACCGGGGTTCGAATCCACTTTTTCAAATCAGATATCACATCGTTGTTATTGTTATTATTACATACTGTTTTATAATGTACTACAATACATAGGTGCAGATAATTGCCACTATTTGCAATAAGTAGTATAAATAGCAGAAAATCCTGCTAGGTGTAAATAGAATCTATAGCTATTTGCACTTAGTGAAAACATTTAGTGTAACAGGGACATTCATTTTATATATGTGACCCTGGACCACAAAACTAGTCATAAGTCAATTTTATGAAATTGTGATTTATGCATTATCCGAAAGCTGAATAAATAAGCTTTCCATTGATGTATGGTTTGTTAGAATAGGACAATATTTGGCTGAGATACAACTATTTGCAAATCTGGAATCTGAGGATGCAAAAAAAAAAAAAATCTAAATATTGAGAAAATCGCCTTTAAAGTTGTCTAAATTAAGTTCTTAGCAATGCATATTACTAATCAAAAATTAAGTTTTGATATATTTACGGTAAGATGTTTACTAAATATCTTCATGGAACATGATCTTTACTTAATATTCTAATGATTTTTGGAATAAAAGAAAAATCAATAATTTTGACCCATACGATGTATTGTTGGCTATTGCTACAAATATACCGTGCTACTTATGACTGCTTTTGTGCTCCAAGGTCACACACACACACACACACTATATATATATATATATAACTGCCTCCTCATTTTAAAACACCACCGCACGCCACTGGTAGAGGTAGGTATGGACATTAAAAAAAATGCTGGTAGCACAATCTGATTGGTAGCATTTTTCGCTATCAATTTGTGCTACCTATCCTTTTAATGGGAGGTAGCACAATCTGAGCGGGTAGCACAAATCGTCAGAATAACGGCAGATGCTGAAATCACGCACGCTTCAGTATGTGTGTAGTAAACAAAACCGCGCGTCTGCGCCATTCACTAACACAGACACGCATAGGGTTGTAACGGTATACTGGTATGGCGGTTTGAACGTGCACTGTTATCATACCGTAAACATTTGCATATCTACTGTTTTTT